ATTACGTATACATAATTTTTTTAAAAATATATATATAATATAATGTGTGTATCGGGTTTTGTGAGTGTGTGAGTGTGCGTTGGCGCGCATATGTGTGTGTGTATGTGTATATGTATGCGTCACACACCCAATTGTTGAATGTGTGTACATGTATGAGTGTGCACACTTCGCCTTCATTTGGTTTAAGTAAAAGCCGATAAAAATCAACGCCCATAGCTGTCTACAAAGTGCACTGAAAACGCCAGACCCTAGGTAAAATACCAAATTAAAAACAAAGAAAGAAAAACTCTACCAGGCACCCAATAGGCTACCTGTAACTTTAATCTTTTCCGAATCTGTCGTTGTTGGTTTTGATTGACCGTTCGGGGTCACCTGGTGCGTCATGACAACACGCCGTCAGTACTACTATATAAACCAAAAGAAAGGACCCCAGTAGAATAATATTCTATTTATAAACCCCTTGACCACAAGATAAATTCAAGTGTAGTGAAAAACCAATTCCTCGATGGTACTACCATTGGTACGCAATATGTAGATTACAGCATTTATTTATTGTATAGTGCATGTCCCCGCTCGACAGAAAGCTATATACGCTTCACATTGTATTATTAGCCCAGCAGAACCAACAAAACCCAGAGACATTCTCAGCTTCTCGGGAAGCACACCGAGCTAGCAGCTGATAAACTCAAATACTAACAGATTGACAAGATCTTTCGCTGTCCAATTTCTAACTAGGCGAAGTGAGGAAAATACGTGTAGGCCTAAAATGCCTCTCCAAAAGACAAAATGGGATTCGAACCCACGACTTTACTGTTGGGAGTCCGAGAGGCAAGTTTTTTCTCTCCACTGTTTCACGTGTTTACAGGCAGTACGTGGTAAAGTAGAATCGAACTGTGCACAAATTAATGTTTGTAAAAGGGTGCGGGATGGGTCTTCAGGGGAAACAACCGCACAAAATCATGTGTAGCATGTTCTGCTCTTTAACTTTAAGCCAATGATGATCACTTTCAACGTAGAAGGAGCTCCGGGGGGGGGGGGGGGGTCAGAACAGGTCGCACTGGAAAAAGGCTTCATTGCTTCATTTTGTTTTTATCTTGATAATGACGCTGATTGTTTCTATAGCTCTCACTCCCGTACAATACAAACAATGTTATTGGCGCGAGATCGGTGACTCAGTGCCTCGAACCTGTTTCACGAGTGGGAGGAGTCATCTCAGTTAATACGTCGAAAGGAATGGTATGTGGTGAAGTTGATCAATAAATGCGTGCATAACGTGACAAAAAAGACAGGCTAATAATTGTACTGACCGAGAGGAAACATGCAGTATTGATTGAAACTTTGATAGTGGTAAATATAACATTAATTTGTTAATATGATATAGATCTAACAAAATAAGAGAGGACTTGGTTTTATTTTTCTTTATATACATGTATATGTGCGAAGGTTGAATCTTTCCTCCTCGCAGCCAATTTGTAGCCAACAGAGTCAGAGTCTCGGTTGAGGCACCTCAAAAAGTAATGAAGTCTGGTGGTAGTGAGCAGGCGCGGTTCGTCCATTGAGCACGGTCGTGCAGTGCCGCCCAAAATTTTAATGTTCTATTACGTAAAACACCTACAATAACAAAATAAAAGACGCCAGAAACAAACACTAGCCAAATATTATATCAAAATACGTTTCTCACTGGCGCCGTAATGGTCATTTCTGTGTCTATAGCGCCGTAAAACATCTACTATGCCATGCCAAAGTTCATGCGCTGTATCTGTGCATAGCAGGATATTCAACAGTGGAAACCTGACCTATAAATCGCTCTTTGGGATAACCCAAGCGATGACGACACTCGTAGCGAGTTTGGCGGTACATTACTATTAATAAGACGGCACATCTCAAATGTGCTCCTGCTGAATAGTGCCGAAACATAGCCCACAGTAGGCAATCTAAAAATAAACCCGATAGACTGTGCACTATTCTATGCCAAAATTATGTCAGCCCCGGAGCAATCCAGCGGAGTGCTCAAGTGAATTGTGACTGGTTCATTGTCTTGCCGCTATTTTAAGTGACTCTGTGACCGTGAACCTGAGGGAGGTGAACGTGACACACTTAAGTCATCGTCCTATGAGTTGTGCTTTTGAACAGTTTTGTAGTGGAGTGGTGAAAGGTATTACTTGAGTGTTCAGTTCTAAAGCAGGATGAATGAAATTGACGTTTAGCTAACAAACAGATTTAGTTCTAGAAGTCAAAGCCACAAGTAAAAAGAATGAAAATAGAATCACAAAGTTCTCCCTCACCAAACAAGGGATCCTAAAATTATACACCATCTCATTTACTATGCCCTTGACTATCTTCAACCTAAGATAGCTTAATTGTGCACGCCCACTTTTTAGACCCACGAGCCGCCCCTGGTAGTGAGGTTAATGGACAGGAACTTCAGTGGGCACTTCCTATCGCTCCGGCAGTCAAGAGATATATGTCCTGGGTGGCCTCGATCATCTTCTTGACTAATCTGAATCTCATGCCCGAGGCAACGCGCGGAGAGGGGATGCTATCTCTAAAGACGATTTCTGCGCTTTGCAGGCAACGTAGAAGTACATATACAAAGATGGTATCGTGAGCCCACCATCATTTAAGTAGGGATACTGCTTTGCCGAGATGAAAAAGGAGCCTGGTTCTTGCCTTTTAAGTGTGATGTCACTCTTACACAGTCACATACAATTCTAGACAGTTTCTTGGCCACGTAACCGGAAATACTTCCAATTATGTCCTTTTCTGGGGCTCCTAGCACAGATCGCTTGCACAGCTCAGCACTATCGGCCTGATGATCTGAGGAAGATCATGGAGGCGGGTCTTGACTGCGTGGGTGGCTCCCTTTGCGGTGATATGTTCCAATTTCAAGAGGAACTTGTCCACGTCTGCTTGGCAATTGCGGTCTCGACCAGGAAGATAGATCGTATCCACCATAGTCTGGGTGAGAGCTGATCGAAACTTCCTACAATCTGGGTTGACACAATGACCACCCTTCCCCCGAACGACAGAGAACAATTTCTCTAAACAGTCCCGGTTCAGGCAATTGGTCAGGTCGAAGAATTTTATCTGGCAATTGCTTGAGAGATCGTTCCAGAGCTCCAAGAGGCATGCAATTGTCAACTCCCACCCCTCAATGCATGGCAGTGAACCAGCCTTGTAGATGACTTCAATGTTATCGAGCCACGCCAATTTATCTGGAAGAGGTTTTTTTTGTCAGCGTAACCTATTTAAAGAAGCATTCTTCTGAAATTTGAATTCTTATTTATTCAAAAACTTGTTAGTTTCACTTTACTTTGATCTTTTTTCACACAAGTAGGGTAACTCTGTTCGCAAAGGGTGCGCATTTGCGTAGAGGGCACCACCGAATTTTGAGGACACTTTTTTAATTGTCTCAAAGAGAGGAATGGACTATCTTGTTATGTATGATCATTGTTCTGAATGAACTTCTACGATACCACCTTGCCGTCAACCAAACATCCACTTTTCTCCGTTTTTCCTAATGCTTTTCGTAAGGTGAAGAGAGTCGAACATGGCAAATACTTTCTCGCATTTGATTAGAAAATATGGCCTTTCCCCACTTACGCCAAGCTTCTGGAACACTGCCATATTGTTGTTGCCTTGATCCCAAATCAACACCTTCGGACACAATCCCAATTCCTTTATCTTTGAAATTATATTTTTCACTATTGCGTAAAGGACATGCATTCAGACCAGTCCCCTAATTTAATTTACTATGAAAACAATACGGCGATTCATCGGTTGAGAGAAACAGATTATAGTTGTACGGCGTGAAACCTCCACCAGACGCCTGGCCCCAATCTCGCCTGAATCGAGGAATGATGTGTTTGTCTTTGGTGTCCCTACCGACAATACCCTTATCTTAAAAAAATGCTGCATAATAATATATGCATATTATATTACAACGTGACAGCTTTTCAGGCCTACTCTCGACACCCCCCCCCCCCTCTTCTTCTCCTTCTCTCTCTCTCTCTCTCCCTCTCTCTCTCTCTCTCTCTCTCCCTCTCTCTCTCTCTCTGTCTCTCCCTCCCTCCCCCCCCTCTCTCTCTCTCTCTCTGTCTCTCTCTCACACACACACACACATACTGCAGACAAACAGTCTCTTTTTCTCTCTCTGTCTCTCGCGCGCTCTGTCAGTGCCTTTCTGTTTGTCTGTCTGTCTGTCTGTCTGTCTCTATCTCTGTGTGTCTCTCTGTCTCCCCTTCTCTCTCTTTTTTCGCTCCCTCTGCGCCCTCACTCACATATCCACTTTACTTAATAAACCCACGAGAGGGTGCCACTTTGAAAAGAACGATGGAAACTCACCACTGAGCCACGTTTGACGTTTGAAACGAAAAAACTAAACGTACAGAAATTTCTGCTACGGAAAGAAGTGCATGTATTTTCTGAACCTCTTCCAAGAGCTCCCCCCTTTCTCTATTTTATTTAAAGGAAGTTTCCAACTATTTCAACATAAAACGGATTGAGAGTGCGAACGGTAGGCTTACAGATACAACGAGCACGTATTTAAACTCTGGGAAAATGCAAACTTTTAATAAACAACGCAGTTGTCTTGAGAGAGGCATTATCATTATGAAGTGAGTCATTCTACCATTTTGACTCACATGATAGGCCTACACTGTATTATAGATTAACTTTTAAAAAATGTGATTGGAATTGGAACCCCCCCCCCCCCCCCCCCCCCCCTTGGGCTTTCTCGACAGCCTAGGAAGAAAATGTAAGAGAGAAAATGTAAAACAGCATAGAGAACTATATTTTTTAAAGGACTTTTTTTTTCAAATTTCACGAAAACTGTGCTTGGTTGGACACCAAGTAAGCGTACGATCCGAATCCTAAACAAATAGAAAGCAGAGTAACGATTCAGTAAGCAGAGAAAATTAAATTTGAGGAGGCAATAAGACAATTTTACCCCTGTTTTACAAGATGGAATCGATAGGTAATTCACAGAAGAATGGGGGCTCTCGTAGCCAAGAGGTTAATGTGTTCGCCTCTCGTTCAAAGGTCCCGGGTTCGAATCTGGGTAGCTACGGTAAACATTCTTCTCAGTAATGTTGTAATTGTCTCTTTTCACCCCCTTATCCCTGCTCTCTATCAAAGTTCTGTCGTCTGCTTTCGTCTCCGTTTTCTGCCCCCCCCCCTCCCACATGCTTTGCCCCCTTCTCTGGGCTCTGGACTCTTTCTGCAGCCTTTCTACTGCTGCTCCTTGGCTCCTTCTTACTGCGCTGTCTTTCAGTCACACCCCTGATCTTCATAGGTAGGGACACCTAGCCTCCTTGGTCAAGGGTGAAAAATCTCGGAGGTCCCGTATGCAAGCTGCGCACGTTAAAGATCCCTTTGTGGTCTAAAATCGATAAGAGTAGGCTTCGGCCGCCACCTGTGCAAAATTCAAAGTTTCCTACAATATGAAAATTAATGATTAATGTATCCCGTACGCTCATATGACCTTATGCAGTTGCGAGCACTGTAAAACACTTAGGCCTAGGTCTAAAAAAAACACACACAAAAAAAAACCCAAATAGAAATAAAGACAATCAATAACAATGAAATGAAAAAAAAATAGGGCTCGTCCGGGATTTGAACCCGGGACCTCTCGCACCCTAAGCGAGAATCATACCCCTAGACCAACGAGCCGATGAAATTTGAAGAGCCTATACATATATATCACTATTTATTATTACTGTTAGGGTTTCCAGTAAGGTAGTGTCGAGTAAAGGGTAGGCCTACATAATTGTTCTCTTAGAAGTTTAATTCTGAAAAATTAAAATACATACAGGTTAACAATTTCATAGAAAAGTAAGTTACAGACTTCAAAAGTGCTGAATAATGTGAAGACAAGAAGATTCTTTTCCAATCTACGGGCTTCGTCCAGGTAGGCATGCAAAAGAGTCGTTGGGCTGAGAGTCTGAGAGTTGATGAGAGTTATTTCCCTTCCAATCATGGCGACGCCCTTGTGCAAACTGTCTCCCTGACTGACATTTATGGAAGGTTAGACTTTTTCCAGCGAGTTTGAGCTAATACAATTGTGAAAAGAAACAGCAGTGACTAGGCATTGCTTTTTAAGGTGATAAAACTTTCAAAATTATCTCCCAGTGAACGTGTTTCCTGGAGCATTCGTTTCCTTGTATCATACTCTCTCGATGCTCAGGCTCAGGGCTCAGGCTCAGGCTGAGGCAGGGAGAAAGCAGGATTCAAGTCCGACAATAATTTATAAACTTTACAAACATGCAAGAACATTTTAGATAATTAATTGTAGATCTAGATCTAGATTCTATATGATATATATGTCTTTTAACTCTTATCCTGCATCTGTGCCCAGATGCGTATCTTATCACACGGCGCACCGGCAGTGGAATTTTAGTTGCCGTGGCGTGGGGGGTTCCCCGCCGGGCGCCTTATCATGTCGGGGTCACGGGGGTCAGCTCCCTGTCGCCGCTCTGTCTGGGCCGACTTAATTTTTGGTACTTTTCAACGTACAATTTAAGGTGTACCCTTGTATTTATGGCAATTCTCATTTAGTGCATCCAAAGCATGCATTTCTGCTCTTGAGACTCTAAAAAGAACGGACGTTGTAACTTGTCAGGTTATTCCGTTAGACGCGCTGGAGTCGGCAATGTTAAATTGTATTTTTTTTGGGACTAGGGTGAATGAAAAAAAAATCAATATAAAAAAAGACATCGTCAAAATCTGTTGAACTTTTGGAACATGAACGACATAACATTGGTGCAGATACTCAGAAAAGATGGTATCTGCGCTTATAATAGAAAGTTGTAATTTTGCAACTTTATCCATCGGGCACACAATTCGCTATGAAGTAATTCCTCCAAATTCAACTTTATGTGTCTAATATAATCGTGAATATTCACATATTTTCTCGAAAGTTGATAAAAGTCACCTTGAAGTTTCTCTATGAAAAGTACAAATCGATTTTAGTTCTAGAATACATCTTCAACGTAGATCTAATACACGAACAGTATCCGTTACACTCCAGAAATTCCTTACTTTTCTTAAAACGCGAAGTCTAGGTTTTGTGAGTTGACTGAATAATAGGGATGACTTCTCGTAATTGGGTTATAAGAATAATTTCTAGCTTTCCAGGGACACTGAATTAGCACCAGACTTTTCCTGCTTTATTTTTCGTTTCTATGACCATTTGCAATAACTGACAGGGCTCCCCTTTTAAGACCAACTTAAGAGGTTCCTTCACCCTTTGGTTTTCTGTCTTAAGGGGTATTTAAACCCTTGTTTTAGAAACTTAAAGGGTAAAAGTCAATTATCTCCTAATTTTATAGTAAGAATTTTTGCTTGTAAACGTTTAACTTGCACGCACATTCACACAGACAGAGTGACCATTATTATGATTGAATACTGACGATTTTTAATTAACTTAAGGTTTCATTGTAAAAGCAAATAATCTTGACTACAATTAAAGTTGTGTCCATTTGGAGGGGGGAAGGGTGGTGATAGTTGAACCAATCAGAAATAAAATAAAGTTGACAAACCAAAAGGGGTCAATTCCGACTGTATTAATACACAAAGAAAATCAGACCTGTCAATCTATGAAATCTAAAAGTCAGGATCTCGGTGGGGAAAAAAAAATCGGGATCAACGACAAATCTCCAAGGTCACTGCCAAACTGACTTTAGAAATTTCCTGGGATGTGTGTGTGTGTGTGTGTGTGTGTGTCTGTCTGTGTGTGTGTGTGTGCGCGTGTGCGTGTGTGTGTGTGCGCGCGCATACGCGTGCCTGTGTGTGTTTTACCATTATTTTTTTTAAATCCAGAAATATCACGTCAAGCTCTCCTGGTTTAAGTGTTTTACACGCCCCCACTGGATAAGTCCCGAAAGACGTTTCAGCCGGTGTGCATGAACTTAAATTGACCCCGTCAACAGTCCCCGACACATGCGGAACTCACTCACGTGGTGCGAACGAGCGATTGAAGCAGTTTTAGTCGGACAAAGCTTGAATTGAAAGCATCAGCAGAACTACGAATAATATTGGTCATTTGTGCGTCGCAATTTAGACTAAACAGTTATTAGGCCATCATCGGAGATTTGCGAGTTGAAACAAAAATAAACGCGAAAATGATCTAGAGCCTAGATCTTGAGAATGTCCCAAGTCGGAATGCCAAGCCAATACTACTTCTATTATAATGTACTTGAAATAACACGTGTGTGCAAAGATCTAACACAACTACTAAACTCGGCATCGACATTTCGGAAAATAGTGTTCCTAGTTTCTGCTGACAAAAAATTTAACGAATGCTTCCCTCTACAGAAAAGAAGGCAGAGTAAGATTTTTGAAAAATCCGGCACAACAGACGGAACAAAAATAAATAAATCGGGATACACGCGATCAAAATCGGGAAAATCGTGATGCTTGAAATTTGGGGCAAAAAAAGCTGGATGTCCCGATTACTTCGGGATGAGTGGCAGGTTTGGAAAATAAACTAATTCATTATTCTGCAAAGCCATCCCTGTCTTTCGATGGTGGACTGTTCATGTTTACTAGATCTAGTGTGCTAAAGAAGGATGGGGGTAATCTAATCTCTCGGCAAGGGTAAACTCAAGGCATGACACCGGCGAATATAATGCGAGCGACCAGAATGTGGGCAGAGCTTCTCTGCTCAAGAAAGGCCGGTGTCGCCGGAAACTTCGCGCAGCTGATAAGTAATAAGTAGATTCTTGGTGGACTGCTTCTGACACAGTCATAGACAGACAAAAGGTGACGGCGGTGTCATGTGTGTGGGTGTGTTGTCAAATCATTGACTCGGCTTCGGGGTAGAGAAGGGGGAAAATGATGATTTTCAGACGCACACCACCTACGTCTTAAAGCGTATGCAAACCCCCGAAACGAAATTTTAAAGAGTAACGCTCACGCACCACCAAAACTTTAAGGGGGTAATCTGCAGGTTTAAGGGGTAATATACGCACATATGTGCGTAAAGGGGAGCCCTGACTGACAATGTGACTGATTTCTTTACATTCATAATTGTGTCCGCGCATATTTCCGACACAAAAACTAAGAATGTTGTCATTATTTTTATTCCATACAAGAAGTTTATCTCTACCCATGTATTTACACGGTTTTGTGGGTTTTTTTAATTGCTTAGATTCTATATTATATCTTTTTAGTTGTATGCAGGCCGCCACAGACACAGTGTGATTCATGAACAAACGCAGTGTAACTTTCTCTTGTTTAATAGTAAAATAAGAGCTAACGCTGATCATCTTTAGTTAAAAAATGCAGATGTGCATCTTTCTTCTCTTATAACTTGACTATTTCTACTAGCGCAGATTTAAGATTTCTCATGGTAAAAGACATGATATTCGTAGTCAGTTTAAACACAGATTTTGGAGAGATCTGTCGTGCCTTTTTTAAATTAACAATCATTTATTCATAAGTTTGTAACTAAAATAGGACAAATTGGGTACTCTACAAAGACTTGCCTAGAACAAAAACTAAGGCACAGAAATTAACCATTCTAACGCAGAATAAATCTCTAGACATTGAGCTTTTAGTACATCCGCGTAATGGTTTGCTATGTGGGATGGGGAAGAAGTTATATCGTTTTAAACATAGTCAAAAATGCAAACTTCCTAACAGACACCGGCAAAGTCGCCTCAGGGCTCATTAACCCCGTGACCCCGAGACGGGGAGCTCCGGCGGGCTGCTGAGTCACACGAACTAAAAGTAACAGAATCGGGCGAAAAGTGACGCCGAGATCAGCAACCGATTACGTCGGACGTGCCGCGCAGGCCGCTGGGCCGGGGTCACTCAGTGTGTACTGTTGGTGTACAGCGCGCGCGCTGGGAAACGTGTGTTTTCGCCATGAATACCGCGGGAGTGTGTTAACTGATGATGAAAATAACGCTCTATCCTTCATAGCATTCTATTTATAAAGTGTTACAAACACATGAATAACCCCCTCTCTCAAGCTGATAAGATATTACGAGTAGTTACGCCCATGTGAATAACCTTTCTGGACGCTCTTGTTGTTATGAATGACCTGAGGTTCGAAAAGGGATAATTTAGGTCAATTTCCGAATGTTTTACACTCAAATTGTTCTTTGTACCTGCACAAGGGTATTCAAAACTATCAAACAAGCTCATTTTTTATCAGGTAGTATCATTTCATACAAAATCAAGCTCATTTGAAATATTTTGTATAGAAAAATGGAAGTCTTGTTTCCTGACTATCCTTTCGAGCTCCTCATTTCTAAGTGGGTCAATTTCTTCTATAATTTCATTGGACGAACATTTAGAGCTATCAACTTGGCATGTTTTGAATGAGACGTATGACTCGATTACGAACCAACGCAGGTGGTTCTAGAAGAATGCCACAAACGCATACAAACTCAAGCAGACAGACGCACACACACTTGACCTGCGTGAATGGGGATCCGACTCGGGACCCGAATGACACGTAAGAGGATGCGCGCTGCGCGTGCGCTGACCCAGGAGCTACACTGACTCGGGACCAGAACGCAGGCGAGGTGCCGAAATAGGCTTATTGGGCTACATAAACCCGGCTCCCGCAGGATGAGGGTTAAGTACCAGATTTTGAGAGGAATTCCGCAGAGGGCCGGCACTTATCGTGACAAGATTAACTGAGCAAACTATAGGCTAAACTACAATTTGACTATGATGATGGAATCCTGTTATGAGAGGGAGGGGACCGGTGCGAAATATGGGAGGACTTCCGTAACGAGCGATCACTATGAGACAGCAAAATTGAGGGGTAGGGGTAGATCTAGGGGTAGGGTTAGGCCTCTTCTTTATTGTGTTTGATGGGGTGGTCGCTCGTTATGGAAGTCCTTCCCGAAATATAATAATAATATATGTCTGTTATAGCAGGATTTTCGTTATACAGGATCCAGTAGTAAATTCAAGGGAAATAATAAAGTAGGCCTAATCTATGACTTTTGTGCTCTGTTTATTCCTCTTTACTCTTTGTATCTCCTCTGATGATGATTTTGTTCAACATGACCTCTAGGTCTTACTTGATCAAAAATCGAATCAGGTTTCTGTCTCTACCGCTAGCAATGTTGACAGCTCGGAGTTGGCGATCAGAAAGAAAGGGCTCTGGCTTTAGGCTAACTCGCCCGCTGAGTTGTCCCCCACCCCTCCATACCCTGTGGTCCGTTCCGTCTGCTTACGCACGTCTCACATTCTCTCCATCTTCTATTGATACATACAGCGTTGTAACCTCTCCATCCCTGCATCGGAGAAGTGAGAGGCATGGTAGGCCTAGATAATCTAGACTAAGCTGGCCTGTCACGTGATGCGTTCTGCTTCAGCTTTTGTCTGTGCATGCCACACCCTCCCCACTCATTCTCTCCGGCCTTCATTGTTGGTTCACGTGGGCTCTCCCATTCTTTGTTTATCTAGATCACCAACAACTTTCTCAACTGGAGAGGTTTTGTGTAATTAAATTTTTTTTTGGTGCTAAACACAGCAGCAGCAATATTCCGTTATATATCTTATACCCGACTTGCGTGTTTGTTTGATTGCGCAATAGCAGTACAGTGGAAACCATATAAAACAGCCCCGGTAATAACAGGGATCTGGTAATAACAGGGATTTTTTGAATTCCCGATTTTTCCTACTCTTTGTCTATATTAAAAGTTATCGGCAATAATACTTAACAGGGCCTCATCGGAGCCCAACCGGTTATAGCTCAGACAAATGCTCGTTAACAATGTGCAAAAAGTAAGAGAGAGAGAGAGAGTAACCCTATGATGGAGCAAGCCTACGCAAGCCATGCCACTACAAGTACACGCAGCGTGTGAAGCGAGAGAGGGCTGTGCTGTGCTGCAAACCTCGATCTAGCCGGAAACCTAGCAACTCGCATGCGTAATGTGTTACCAACGATGTCAAGCGCAAGAGAAAATGCCTTTAAATTGACAAAAATACGAAATAATCCAGGCTGTTGACAAAAAGCAAGCCCCACTGGCAGAGATTTGTTGTTTTTGAAGGAGGGTGTATGTGTGCAAAAACAATAAAATACCAACAACAGGGGGTGCTGTTAAAGCCACAAACATAATGTTTTTGCAAAATACTGAACCAAACATTTTTTTATATGGAATCTAGATCTATATCTGCTCAAAGTACCCCCTCTTTAGTGTGTTGTTGGTCGGCAGGCCCTCTGCGGAACTCCTTTCCAGATTTTAAAAATAAATCTTGGCTGTATTTTGTGCCCGTTTTTTTACGTCCTCAGCACGTTCCTTGACAGGAGACAATCAGACACTCGCTGTCTTCCTCTCTCAGTCTCTGTCACTGTCTGACATGAGACACTAGATTCCAGTGAGTCAGTGAGTGACACGAGTATCAACAACAGACTTGTTTCACAAGAAACACTTTCCTTTGTCTACTGCTATACCGGTGGCCTAATCCTCTGTTTTTACGGGACGCATTTTAGCAGTTGGTGTCTCTGGTGGTTTTCAATTACAAGCTACGGGAAATTGCGAGCCAACAGTTGACCAACAACGCCTAACTCTAACCCTTACTATAACTCTTACATAGTTTGCTCAGTGGACCTTGTCAGGGTAAGTGCCGGCTGTCTGTGCAACTCCTCCCGCTTAGCCTTCATTTACGGCTGCGTCTATACGGACACGTGAAGACAAAGAAGTAAACAATAACAGTAAAACCTCGGCATAACAATTTAATAACACACTCGGCTGAAAACTATATTCTTGATTGTTACTTTGCGTATTTACTTTTGGTAGTCTGGAGTCCCAATTAGAGATGTTACCATTTAAAAGTTATTCCTAAACTGTATAAGATGGTGTAAAACGTTCTTTTTGCCTATAACATTCACTTTTCAAGGGATTTTAGTAGTGATCTAAAGTTCCTATAACGGACTTTGTGCATTGTGAGAATAAAGAAAATGGCAAAAAGTGATAGTTTTACTGAACTCAGGAATATAACTTAATCAGTGCAGTGAGTGTGTAAGTTTTTCGCAGAGGTACACGTTACGAGTTCACACGTATTGTTAGTATCTGTCAGTGGGTGCTTGCAAACTCCTCCCCCCCCCCCCCCCCCACCTTCTCTCTCTCTCTCACACACGCACCCCACACACACACATGTGCATGGCATGAGGGGATTGATGAAGTGAAATATATTATAATATATTTAATGGTAACCTTTCCCGTTGCCATCATTTTTACCATAGTTGCCGACTAAAATTAAAATAATGATTTAGCATTTATAAAGCAGAGGAAAGCACTTTGTTATCCTGTTGTTTTTGTGGTCCCGACAGTTAAGTTGATCTCCAGATGAGTTGATCGATTTTTTAATTCATTCCCCCCCGACGACATGAACTCGCCCATAGTTGACTTTATCAGTCCAAAATACTGTAGTCTCTGGCTAAACACGTGCCATACAAAAGCACGCTCTGCTCAAACACACGCTTTCGTCATCGACAGGTTTTTTACTATATAATTTAGACGTACAAACGCACTGTCACTCCCTCTAAACGCACGCTCCGATCTGCAAAACGCGCTGACAGGTAAAGCTTTACTAAGGGAAATTTTCACTACGACTACTGTACGATCTGCACAGCTTGCGTTATAAGACTAGCCTAGAAAACCGGATATTTGGCGAGACTGCCCCTTACGTGGAACAAAGAGAGTGAAGGACAGCGTTTTCACACCCAACTTTCCACAGACACATAGGTCTAGGACTGGTCGGTGAAATGTTGGGGGGTTGGGGGACAGAAACGTAATTTGATTGGTCACTGGAAATGCATCTCTTTGAGAGAAGGTTTCTGACTGGTGTTTGAGTGACTGCGTGTTGGCTAATGTTTAGTTAAACCTAAGCCTATGATGCGCAACATGCGTGAATGCTCGTTCTTGAATTTACGGTCAGGGGTGGTCGCTGGGAAAGCCATGTGGCTGGGCAGTCGACTCTATGACTATCACCAACAATTTCTTGTTAGGCTATTGGTTCCCGACATTTTATGGTGCCTTCATTACATCGAGTCTGTCTTTCTGCCCCTCCCCCAGACCCCCCTCCCACATACACACACACACACATTATTCAACGCCTTTGAAGTCTTAACCGCAGTCGGGGAATCTTTTACAAAACAGTCACGTGTTGTCACATTATCTGCCCTAAGTCTTAAGTGACCCCCACCCCAAAGGAAGGTCACTAGAATATCAAGGCAATGAGATGACTGCGTCCCTTCCTCCCTTTGCAAAGGTTCATATAACGCACGCTCCATATAAACACACGCTAAGGAGCCCTCCCGAGCACTGTACGTTTAGGTGGAGACTACTGTATGTCTTAGAATATATAACAATTATTTACCACAGTTGTCATTGTCCTCAGCCAAACACTCATCATGTTGCAGGTCACATTTAAAAACTCATGGCGGATCAATCAGGAATTTGTTTCCCCTCTAAAACAAGTAGGACCCAAAAATGGGACACGACATATTTTACTTTATTTAAAGGTCCAGTCTATTTTTGGGTTACGATGTACCAGTTGCTAGTAAATATTGACGTTCTGGGAAGGTTAAGCTCCTGTGTATATATTCGGACACGTGTGTCCTTCTACCCTAGCATGAATGAGAGAACTGTACTTTGTGGGCCTTTTTCTTTTTGGACCAATGCATCATTGCAGTTTGCATAAAATTGGATTCTATTTTTCTATTTATAGAATGGTGAAAACCAACCATGATTGTTTCGTTTCCTGACGTAAATCGACATGCACTAAATGTTTTTAAAGAGGGAAAAATTGTTCTTTAGAAGGATTGTGTCAGTGTCGAAATACACACTGTGATTGTTTATTCTTATATGGCCGACAACTCAACGGCCTTCTTTCAATACTTTCCTACCGGTACCAACACTCGGGTTGCTGGCATGCACTCATATATATATATATCTTAATGTGCGTCGTGGTTGGATGGGGGGGGGGGGGGGGGGGGGGGGGCAGCGCAACTGTAGTACTCACGGACGTTTTTACCCCTGGATACTGAAAATTATATTACAATGAAGCTAGTCTTCACATAGATCTAGATCTACATATGAATTGCGCGCTGGTCTGTTTAATCAAATGTTGTTACATATATATATATATATATATATATGCTAGGCTCTATACACAGCAGACCAACATGTTCAGCAAACAATACGTCATAGATGATAGATGACCAGGAGTTCTTTTGAACTAATCAGACCTTTTGCACAGCATATGTTTGGTAGAGTTCAGTGCATTTTCTCAGAATTTTCCTGCATTTCTTCGGTTTGGCGCCAAAGAAACAACGAACGTGTCTCTCATTTGAAACCAAACTACTTTTGATTGAGGGAGTCGAATACATCATAAATTACACAGTAGTTGCTTGGTGCCTGTAATTATCTACACAAATACCTCATGTTTGTTACCGCTACAACCGACACTCGGATTTAAAGAAATGGAAGGTCAGGCCCGACAAATTCGTTGAATCCGAGTTCCACTGTACCATCTCTATCGCCCCTGTGTAATCCATTTTTTTCTTTTTACATTTCAGCAAACCTGGAGCTGTAGAACTGATGGTGACAGAGGTTTTTGCTAGCTCAATCCTTTGATTTACAGTTGTCCAAGTGTGAAAGTGTCGGTGCATGATGTGGTCCCCTTTCCAAGCTGTGAGCCGTCTCCTGGTACAATCTAGCAAGACCTGCTTGAGTCACTCCAATTTATTACATAGACCATTCACACAGGCCCTCTCTACTGCAGCATCTTCCACATTATTTCACACCGATCGACTTGTTGCAACAAAAAGTGTCAGTTTAACTACAAAGGTCTCTTCTCATCCTTTCCAACTAAGATCGACCAGTGGCAGTAACGTTCACCGTTCCCCATTGCTGGTGAACTCACTCGGCCCACTAGTGACAATCACACGTGGTTACAACGCCGCTCTCAGACCTCGACTTATTTGTCCCGGCTGCTACTTTGTGTGGCGTCATGGCAGGAAACACGTCGAATGCAGCGATCACCCACGGCATAAACAAATGAAGAAACTTGTGAAGCGAAAGATTTGGAAAGAGGATTATTCCAAGGGCAATGTTCAGAAAGCCATGCAGTGGTACCGAGTGGAGCCTCGGCAGTGCGCTCGTACAGTGGACAGAACAGCTATGGCGCATAACTGGGTGGCTGGAAGAATTGGGAAAGAGATTTAGCATTTGGTGGAAGAATAAGAATGTTAAGTCAAGGTGATTTTTTAGCATTTGTCAGTGTCATTATTGAGGACATTGTAGAGAAGAATAAAAGTTGTTTGCTTTTCAAAGTTTTTAAAAACTTTTTTGGTATCATATTATGACATTACATGTTGTACATGTACATCTCAACGTCTGTTGTTATTGTTATCAATACCAAAGACCTGTTTCACAGAGACATGGACTGGTTATCTTCAGTTGTTGTGTAAATTGAGTACAGTTGCATTTGTTTTCGAGATTCTTAGCTGTCTTGGTAAAATGTGGACTGCCTTTTTGATTCACTTCAGGCCCTGCCTGGTAAAGAGGGGGATAATATATGAAAACGCTTACTTTAAATGTCCTCTATTCTGGTACTGTTGGTTACAAGAAACTTGTACTGATAGATCTAGAATGAAAATTCAAAATCAAATCTATGTTCAATCAAACTTTTTTCCAGTCGTCCATGGCTTGTTACAGTTACACATCGGCCTACAACTATTATCTCTATACAGTATAACAAAGATAGATCTAGCACAGAGGACTAAAAAATCACGCATCCGTCGAACTGTGCCTGTGGTCGTTTTTTTTTCACTTTTCTTTATCTTTGAAAGATATCCCCAAAACTACCGAGGCAGGTCCCGACAAATTCGAGCTATCGTTGTTATACTGTAGCTGAGTCCTTAGCCTTGGTATCACTGTAGTTGAAGAACGTAAGTAAGGGGAAGACTTGTTTGTATCAATGGTCAGGATGATGAAGTGTACCTCCAAAAACTTTTTTTAAATAGTCCAATGTCCTACAAAATGTAATACATGTAGTAGAAGTTTTATGCTCCCATTGACATCATTTGAAGCTGAAGGATGTGGTATGCCTTAACTTTGCCTGTCGCTGTCAGGGCCAACCGTTGGCAGAAAGATGGGGTTACTCAATAAAAATTCTCCCCCACACAGGAATCGAACCCATGTCTCCTGCGTGCATCAGCAAAGCACCAACTGCTACACCACTGAAACTGATTCAAACACTCGGGTCTCTACCTATTATCAAGCCTACTATCAATAAAACAATAGTGCCTTCAAAAATTCGAGGCACAACTTATCCTCAAATAGAGAAACGACATATTTTCTCTTTAACGAGTGAATCAGTGTCATCCATACTTTGCACAGCAGTTTGTATTAGTTTGTTATAACTTAATACAAACTAATATTTTCCCACAAAAATGGAGGCTGGATTAAAAAAAACTTTTCTCACATACATTTTACTTTACATATATATATCGCTAGCAGCATGATTCAACCGCTTTTAAGTGACACAATTTTTGAAAAATCTCTTTTTGATCCCTTTATGTAGTTTGATACACTTTATGTTAAAATCTTTTGTTTTAAATATTACTGCAAAGTGTTTTCATCCTCCAGTAAATATCAACCATCTACATCACACCAGTCCCCAATTTCCACGTGATTCAACCACCCAAGTGCCAATTTTACAGTCTTGTGGCGAATGGGCGGTTGAATCACGCAGATTCGTCGGCTTGTTGAGGTGTTCACCTGTCGCGTAGGCGGCGAGACCCATATATGAATGTGGCCTTTGTCAAAACAGACTGGAGGGTGACATCAAAACAAAGTGCACCCTTTTGCTAACTTTGCCTCAGATCGAACCCTATCGATAGCCAGAAGATTTTGTCGAGGCAGTTTGCATAATCTATCAGTAAGTTTGGTAGTGTATTTGAGAAAGGGCAAGATGGCATCAAAGAATAATATGTTAATAGTACCTACTCGACCAAGTCGGTAAATTGTGGCAAAAGCTACTCATAAAAGAATTTTTTTTAAATCTATGATTGACAGCTAAGGGGTGATTATTTCTCATTCGATACAACTATTTGAAATATTTTTATGGCGACTTCGCGTTTCTTAATTAATTCACTTTAAATGTGCACCCCTTGCTGTGTCTGTCATGTACCATTCTTGAATCAATGATTTAGGTAGGTGATACTTAATTTGTCACTTGAAAAAAGCAACTCATAAACAAATTCGCCTCGAAAAATTCTCCAGCTCTATGCTACAATTTGAAACAAATCTCACGCATTCTACACATACAAAACAATGAGTTTGTATACAACTGCCCTCACACAGTGGTTATTCATGACTGTTGCAAAGACAGGTCACATGACTTGGAGGTGGGAGCTCCACGATTGTCAAATTACCAGAGAACAGAAGAGAACAAGCAATTTTGTGAAAAGTAATTCTTTGACAAACTTGACGAAATTGCTTTCCCATTGCTACAAACAGAATACTGGCAAAATCTATCTTAAGTAACACTTTCAAAGCCTCAGAGGCCTTTATAGAAAGTACCAAAAAAATGGAAAGAGTCACACATTGTCCCAGACGACTTTAGAGAGAGATATTAAAAAAGAGCATCTTGTTGTTGTATGTATGTCTGAAGGATCATTCTGAAGTATGCAAGGTAGGAGAATGGATCCAAGAAGAAGCTTGCACAAAACCCAGTTGATGAAACCAGAGCACCTCGAGTGTGCATGGACTTGGAAGCGTATTTGTTTGTTCGGCATTGGATGCATCTCCTGCACTATATCACAACAGGACCAAATTAGCTGTCTATATTTTTTAAAGTTTGGTAACCAAAGATGTTAAGTGTCACATTTGGCACAACGGAGAAGGTCCATTGATTGCCAATGAATTCTCTTCTTGTGTGAGTAACATCCTGGAGGGGGCCTACAGACAATAAATATGCTACGTTGCAGTGATGGCTGTACTTATATCTTGCCAAAGGCAATCAGTGACATTTGTACCAGATAGAACAACACTGTTGAACGCAAATAGGCCTACCATGAAAAAGGACAAACGCAAATGGAAGTGGACAGCACACACAGTGTAGTGTAATCGAAATCAAAAGGTCCCTGAAAAATGGTCGGGTCTATGTGCTCATGGATCATCCGGAACGTTTTCAAGAAAGCAAGACAATGCCCCCACCCCCCTTTGCTGTTCTATTTCTAGACCATTCAAACCTGGCTGAAACAAAACGACCCAGTTGTCACAAACGTTCGTTGTCTTTAAACACACTGAACAAAAACATCCTGTACAAATTTAACGTTAAGATGACTGTTTCTTTTTAACATTTTTTAACCAACTTCATAAGGCCAAAAACAGTCCTGCCCCAGAAGACCCAACCGAATCACTACTGAAATAATTACTCTTAACTTTATAATTACCATACTCTTAATAAACTAGATCTACAGGTATTATGATTTGCTTTTGTCGTTTACTCAAACGCCCAAGTGACCATTGGCACTCGTCGAGGGATGATAAAACATGATGCAAACGCCTAGACAGTCATATTGTCACTTAAGAGGTTGAATCACGTAGATTTTGGTAGGTCTAAACCGCCCATGTCCAGTAACTTGTGTAAGAAAGCTTTTTGAAAAAATAGTTACGAGTTACGGACCATCGTCCCACATCATATTATATTATATGTCTGAATTTCAGATTCATAGGTATGAGTTCCGAGCATAAAGAAATAAAGCAGTTTTTTGCTTCTCCTGAAAAATTTGTCTCTACTAAGCACATAGGCGGTTGAATCACAGTCGCACGGCTAGTGATACGATCTACGTCACATTCTCATTTAACTTATCAATGACACTTTTTAGTAGTTAGTAGCAAAACTTGTTACAAGAAATTAATTTTATATAGTGAACACTTCTTCACACTAGAGGTACTCAAAACATGCGTTCATAAAAGCATAGTGAATTAGTGTCTCGATTAGAAAAAAAAAAGACGGACTTGCTTTTTTAAAACTTTAACAGTAATATTGCCACAGCTGTAAACCTTTTAAAATTTGTAGAAACCAAACATTTGGGTTTTTTCATTAATTAGTATTATTCATCAAGGAATTTTCTAGAATCTAATACAGCTAACAGTAACAGGCAGGTGTTTACCAAAGTATTGATCTGTTAACACAAATTGATTAAAGTCCTTGTGCAAAAGCTGGAGCGCTTATGCTCGAAAGTTGAGGAAATATTTGACAATAAGCAGGGCCACAAATTTTTGACTGCACTATTCACTACATGTATAGAAATATAATTAAACCTGTTCAAGAAGGAAAGGAATAGCAAGGGAGGCCCCCCCCCCAAAAAAAAAACAACTGTCCTAGACAGGACAATTTTTAAGTTTTAAGGGGTGTGGGAAGAGTTCAGCAGAGAGCCTTCATAGTCATACTTGAAAGAATCAAGGGTCGCCTGTCCAGTCGACGAGCACCGGTCAAAACTTCATATCCTCTAGTGCTATCCTAGTGCCTTTCTGGTAATGGGATGCGTCACTATTACGAATCCATAGCCACCAGTGCTTGAAACTCATAGGGACAACTGTTTGACTGGTAAAACCAGAAAGAATTGAACATCTTTGCTTCCCCCTCAACCCTAGCCCATCGATGTGTATTGAGCACAATCAACCAATGCCCCCTCCCCCTTCCCCCTGCATGTAACAATGATTCGGGGAGTTGTTTTTTGGTTGTATTGTAAGATCAGGGTGCTAGGCAATGGGCAAATTTCACATCTCTGGTGAACAGGGGATGTTTCTGTGCTAGGGTGCCACTGTAGCACTTTGAAAACAAGCTAGCCGTCAGATTTCGTACCCTCATCACCCTAGGCTGATCATCTTTTTTTATTCAAGAAAAAGTCAGAAAAGCACATCGACACATTAATATTCATTTTTATCGTTGGGAAAAAGTCAGACAGACAGAAACGTTAGAGAGAAAGTAAAGAAGTAAGAAGACCTCCAAGTGGCACCCTCCAACCACCCGCCCTGACCATCTGCACTGTTCAGGGCTCGCACAGATGGGGTAACAGACCTCTCCCCCAACCGCACCCTTTCCTTACCTGGAATAAAAGATAGAGTAAAGAACTGTTGGAACTACACTTAGATCTAATTGGGAACTTAATTTTCAGTTTCAATCATTGCTGAGCTAAAAAGCAAGTCAAAACCCTCAAAAGGGATAAAGTTCGTTTCTTTGATGTGAAAGTTTCAGTCTCGGACAAATGTAAATATGCATATTATTATTATTATATAGAAAAAATTAGAGGTGCGTGGAGATTCTGTCATGAGAAGTTTTTGTTTTCGATAGAGCTCCGTCGTGACAAGTTCGACTGTAGAATGGTTGCCCTTTTTCTTTGTGTGCCAGACACCATAAAATGAAATACATACAGTAAACTCTCTGTATAAAGTACACAGTGTTAAATGTGCTACTGGCTGTAATTTTACTTTCTGAAGCCCTAGGTCGTCATTAAGTATTTCTACTCCTTTTGGGTATTACTAGTAATAAGCACCTTACCTTGGCTAAGACGTAAAAAAACTTCGGGTCCGACAGGAATACGTTATGGTTTGGTTGCTGTGTACTATTATTTAAAGCTGCATCAAGTAGGACAGAAACTTAAGGTCTACACATTATGTCCTCTGGACCTGGAGTATTGTGGACCAATACCCCATCTTCGAAATTTACAAAATTATGTCCGATAGGGCCTTCAACAAGATCACAAACAAAACGAATAAGCAAGGGCTCTGTTTCATATACCTGTATTGGTAGAAAGATACATTATACCGTACATTTAACCTGAGGTAAAAAATCTCACAAAGTAGGCCTTCATTAAAACAAAACATTGAAAACCTTTTTTTTTTTTTCTGTATGATGTCAGCTTTTCTGTCCCCAGGGTTTTATGCACTCTGCATTATTTAGCAAAATTTGATAATTTTTTGCTTAATTTCTGATTATTTTCCTTTATCATTCTTTTGTTAAAATTAACAGAATCCCATAATTTCACATTTTTGACTCAGTTTGCATAATTTTAGAATTTTTTTTGCATAAAACCGTGGGGACAGGCTTTTATCGGAAAATAAAATAATTAGTGATGTCCAGAGATCATACACATCACGTAAAACTCAATTGACAAAATCACCGAGGAGAGGGTAAAGCTTGAAATTAAAACCAAAAAAAAGGAAAGCAGTCAATTATATTATTTGCGTTCTTCTGCAATCCCTGATAAGGACTTTTGGACGCCATCGGTCCACTGGTGTTGAACAAAGGTAATGTCTTCTTTGTAGTTTCTCCTAATTGCAGAAGAGTCTGAGTCTTCTGAGCAGATAGCTGATCTTACAGTAGTAGGCAAAACTAATGAATAGGCTCTAATGTCTCTCACCGGTATCACAAGGGCATTCTGGTGTCAGGGAGCCTTGATTCGATATATGGGAGCCTTTAGTTTGCAGTGCCTAAAAATCAAAGTCCATATTCAGAACAGTGATATATCTGGCCCTTTCTACCAAGAGTTTCGTTTATAGAAACTTTCATCTCCGGTTACATGACATGGCTCTCTCACGGAGTAGCTTTCTCGCTAGCCCTTCTGAAAACAACAGTTCTCTCCAACAAGTCCTACCCATGCACCCAATCTCAGTGACATCTCCAGTTCATCAGAGATGTCTAGACTCCACCACCTTCTTTTTGCCTTGTTTACTCCAAACTCCACACTTTACACTTTTAAAGTTGACATTGTACATGTAACTACTCATTATACCTGATGGACAGATTATACTTCAGATGCTTTCCTTGCTAAAAAAAAAAATGCATTCAATAATCTTAGAAAAGTAAAAATATAACATCTGTGTAAAAAAATATTCTCACAAGAATCAATAACATCAAAGAATCAATGTTACAAACAACATGTGCAGGACTGGTTTCATTCACTTGAGCAAAGGAATCCAGTACTACCAGTACAGGCTTACATCATATATAAATGGTATAATGAAAAAACAAAGCAGAATTTACTATTCTATACATATAAGGATCTTTGTTTCATGTTGTCGTTCTGTTCTTAAGCTACCGTGCATAGCATAGAGAGATACATTAATATATTATGATTGTGCACAACTACTCAAATCAACGAGACAGAAAAACAAGACCCCTTCATATGACACTGCATGAACCTTAATAATAATAACAACAAATATGAGCTAATGCAAATTGAAAACATCAAAAGACTTATCTTCTTTCTTCTTAACATAATGAATTATAAGTCATTTGTTGCAGAAAAGTTTGATTTTCAGATTACACAAATTTGCTCTCACACAATCAGCCTGTCTTTTTTTAAAGGTCTCTTTCTCTCTTTACCCCTACGATATGATGTCATATGAAACAATCAGAAATAATGAATTGACTTCCCTACATGCTTTAGAGCAGGAATAGAATTAGTCTTAATTATTTTGAAATTTTTTTATTTTTTTTTAATTTAAAAAAATCTTAAAAAGATAGAGTGAATTGATGTTTTCCTCAGACTTGCCAACCTATAAAAAACAACTACCAGTATAGCTGAAATACATTACAGTAGTCTCCGCCTACATGCATGTAACACAAACACATAAATCAATAACATCCGAAGAATAGTGTGCCATACCTCGTTAATTATAAATAGAAGTCATTTGCTAAAAATCCCTGGTAACTTTAACAAAAACGTAAGAAGAACCAAATGATTCTCATGTATGGCATGAGGTAACAAGTCTACTGTGTGGAGTAAGTAGACCCAGCATTAGGTCTTAATTAAAATAGAACAATCAAAGTCTGCCTGTCATTCCCCCTGACACAACTATAGTCTCTCCAGTCATATAGGCCGAATCGTCTGAAGCTAGGAAAGAAGCAGCCCCTGAACACTCCTCTGGTGTGCCAAGCCTGAAAAACAGACCATACAAAGACAAATCATACATATACATAAATAGATATATAATATATATATAGATATAATATATATAATCTACAGTAAAGTCCACGAATCTCGAACATGAAAATCATGAAATCTCAGGTCTCTCGAACATAATGCTCTGTCTCGTTTCAGTCTCTATGTTTTCTTTGTGTAGACTTCATGGAGTTCAAGAACATGCAACACTTGAACAAACCGCACCGCATGACTGGCTCGTCACGCCTGCATCATGCTGTGGGACACGCGGTGTCGATGGCAAGAGGTGTAACTTTCTGTAAGCTAATGAAATGAGAGGAAAGGAATGACATAGGAGGTTGTTGGGCACACGTGGGATTTTCTGCTCTCCATTTTCATTCATCTTCTTGCTTTCACACCGTCAACCCGTTCATCAAGGGAGTTAAACCCGGTCAATTGTTTTAAAGTTCTTTTTTTTTTTACCTCCCTTGATTTTCTCTCTATTTCTTTGTCCTTGGCGCTTTCACACACATGACGAATTGCGGAAATCTCGAACACTATTTCCAATCCCCAACGAATTCAAGTTACCAGTGTTTGACTGTACAGTGTTTTCAGACATTTTACCAAAACCTTGAATTCCGTAAAATTAAAATATCGGACTCAATTAATTTGTTAGACGTGATTTCTGCAACAGTGTTTTAGTTTTAGTAGTTTTTACGGCGCTCGCAACTGCATAAGATCATATGAGTGCCAAGGGGTGGATGTCAACAGAGAAGTCTTTACAGGGAATCAAGCTTACTCTGCTCACCTCTCTAGCTTCAGCAGCACAAAGTCTACTTCAACTATTAAGGCACCCCGCACGACGTCACTTTTCGCCTCAGCAGATCTCTCCAAAGTCTGTGTTAAACTGATTACGAATATCATGTCTTTTACCATGAGAAATCTTAAATCTGCGCAAGTTGTAATTGTCAAGTTAAAAGAGAAGAAAGATGTACATCTGCATTTTTTAATTGAAGTTGAAGACACTCAGCGTTAGCTCTTGTTTACCATTAAACAAGAGAAAGTTACTCTGCGTTTGTTCATAAATCGTGTTGTGTCTGTGGAAGCTTGCGTACAGCTCACTAAAATTGATTTGTACTTTTCATAGAGAAACTTCATGGTAACTTTTATAAACTTTAGAGAAAATATGCGAATATTCAAGATTATATTAGACACATAAAGTTGTATTTGGAGGAATTACTTCATAGCAAATTGTGTGCCCGACGGATGAAATATTAAAATTACAGCCTTCTATTGTAAGCGCAGATACCATCTTTTCTGAGTATCTGCACCAATGTTATGTCGTTCATGTTCCAAAAGTTCGACAGATTTTGACGATGCCTTTTTTTTATATTGATTTTATTTTCATTCACGCTAGTCCCAAAAAAATTACAATTTAGCATTGCCGACTCCAGCGCGTCTAACGAAATAACCAGACAAGTTACAACGTCCGTTCTTTTTTTAGTCTCAAGAGCAGAAATGCGTGCTTTGGGTGCACTAAATGAGAATTACCATAAATACAAGGATACACCTTAAATTGTACGTTGAAAAGTACCAAAAATTAGGTCGGCCCAGACAGAGAGGCGACAGGGAGCTGACACCCGTGACCCCAACATGATAAGGCACCCGGCGGGGAACCCCCTGCGGCAACTAAAATTCCACTGCCGGTGCGCCGTGAGCTAAGAAAGATTTATTATGCGATTTTAAAAAAACGCAAATCTGTGTTAATACATGGGTAGAGATAAACTTCTTGTATGGAATAAAAATACAGTGGAGTCCACTTATAACGAGTCCGAAAAAAACGAGAGATCTGTTATAAGGACACTTTTCTAAAAACCCGTTTTTTTTCTCTTCTTTACCTTTGTAAATTTAATACTGCTATAGCGCTATCAGACAAACACTCGAGTCGGTTATAGCGGAATATTGCTGCTGCTGTGCACAGGCCAGTTATACATAATGTAAAACCTCGCCAGTTGAGAAACTTATTGGTGATCTAGCGAAACAAAGAATGGGAGAGCCCATGTGTGTCAACAATGAAGGCCGGAGCGACTGAGTAGGGAGCGTGTGGCATGCGCAGACAAGCAAAATACGTCACGTGATAGGCCAGTGTAAGCCTAGTTTAGATTATCAAGGCCTACCATGCCTCTCACTTCTCCGATGCGGGGATGGAGAGGTTACAGTGATTTGATGGTTGGAGCGAATGAGTGACGTGCGCAAACTGACGGAATGCACCACAGGGTGTGGTGGGGTGGGGGAAAACTCAGCGGGCGACCCTGAGCTGTCAGTCAACATCGCTAGATCTAGCTCAAGAGAAAGAAACCTGATTCGATTTTTAATCAAGTAAGACCTAAAGGTCATGTTGAAACAAAATCCTCATCAGGGGAGATAACAAAAGGAAATAAACAAAACGCCAAACTCATAGATTAGGCCTACTTTTCAGTTTCCCTTGAATTTATTACGGGATCCCTAACTTATAGCGAGAATCCTGCTATAACGGACTTTTGCTCCGGTCCCCTCCCTCTCGTTATAACAGGATTCCACTGTAATGACTTGGTCACTGCTGAACACAATCTTAAATCTTTCAAACTTGCAAACTGTAAACAGTTAAGACACAACACAGATGAAAATGTGAATCTTACCTTCCCAAAGGAATAGTGGAAAGTGCTACGTTAAGAGCATCTTCATTCTGTGTCAGCTGTAAATGTAAGAGAAAATCGAGGACATGATATGGTACCCAGAATTTCATTTTGGTATTAATAAAATAATAAATCAATCAGAAGCCCCCGGGCTGTCCTATAATATTATATACATTTTCTCATCAAAGACCCTTTTGCGAAACTAGCAACTATAAATCTTTTATCCCTTGCCAATTCCCATTAAGGATTTCACCTATGACTATTGGTTTTTTTTGGTAAGTGTATTACGGCGCTCGCAACTGTATATGAGCGTGCGGGACACATTCAACATTTTCAGTCGATACGAAATTTTGAATTTTGCCCGACTGGCGGCCGAAGCCTACGCTTATCGATTTTGGACCACCAAGGGATCATTAGTGTGTGCAACTTGCACATGGGACCTCTGAGATTTTTCACCCTTATCCGAGAAGGCTAGGTGTAGATCTATCCTACCATAAGATCAGGGGTCTGGTCGAAAGACAGCAGTAAGAGGAACCAAGGAGTAGCAGTAGAAAGGCTGCAGAAAGAATCAGGAGCTCAGAGGAGGGGGCAAAGGAGGTGAGGGGGTGGGAGCAGAAAGTGGAGACAAAAGAAGACAACAGAACATTGTTAGAGAGCAGGAAAGGATGTGAAAGGAGAAAATTTTTAGAGAAGAATTTCCCGTCACTATGCGGATTCGAATCTGGGACCTATTGAATGAGAGACACCACCTTAACCTCTAGACCACGAGAGCCCTCTTATGGCTACTATGAGTTTAACAAAGTATTAACTCATTAGTTTGTACTGTTCATTTTCAGTACCCCACAAGCATAGATCCTTTTACTCTTGAGAAGACTGGAAGATCAAAGATAATACATCTATAATTATCATACACTGAATTATTTGGCTTGCGTAGTACAAGGCCAGCTATTGTAACACAATAATATGGGTTATGTGATTTAAAAACTTGGCAAGACCCCAAAATCAGAAAATTATAACGTGAATCTGAAGGGGATCAGAATGACCTCAGTCCCTCCTCCACGGAGAAACTATGAATCCTGTCTTCACAAAGACATGCCTACTGTGTGCCTTATAGGGCATAAGCTTCAATTTTTAAAAAAGCATAGCTTCAGACCACAGTATGGTTGTTCTTCAGGATTCAAAGCAAAACTTAAAATTTGACTAAAATTATGTAAGCGTTTGGAATAAACAGTAGATTTCTCTGACCAGAAGAAGTTGTTTTCATATCAAGAACAAATGGCATTCTAATAAAGAGGTTGAATGAAGATGGCAAAATATCTAATACTCTAATAGTGAGGCATTGGGGTGAAATCAGGCGCTCTGCAAATACATTTCTGTGTGGATTCTGAAAAATGTTGAATTAAGGTATAAAAATGTAAATTTGCAGTTTCTGAGGACTCTCAAGCTTTGGAAGTCGCCAAACTTTGGAGACCAATTTCTCTCTAATTTTACCTTTGAAACCATGCGACCCCTATCTCCTTCAATTGCAAATATGTCGACTTGTATTCAAGATAAATGGGTATTTCGTTCATCGAAAGCAAGGCAAATGTACACGCTTTAAAGCGATACCAATAACTCCTCATGCTCCAAAACAGAGGAGCGCCTGATTCCACCACGCCGTGACACAATTTCAAGTTTGTTGTTTGTTTTTGACAGAGGTTTACTGCATTTGCAACACAATTGGGTCATATACATGCCGAAGACTAGAGGTGTTACAAACACAAAAAAGGAGGAGGGATACGGATATGTTTGATAAGAAAGAAGGAGCAAACCACACCAGAGCACCCACCAACCACACACTTTCTTGAGCATTAAAAGCAAAAACTTCAGATTTGGCTGATATTAAATAAATATTTTGTAACAAAAAGGAGCCTTTAGAATAAACAGTAGATTTCAATGACTGGAAAAAGGTGTTTCCATATCAAGAATAAAGGACATTCTAATCAAGAGGCAGAACAAAAAATGGCACAATTTCTAAAACTACAAGTGTACTTAATTTTCATAAACTGATACAACGATAGTCACAACAAAATACTTTGGAAATCAAAATAACAGAAAGAAAGAGAAGAGGAATGGAAAGAAGATTACAATTAACTAACCAGAAGTGACTTCAATTCACAGTTACATTCAACCTTAATAAACATGGAACACCAGGTGACAAGGTTCAGAAGTCCACTGACTACTCAACAAATCTAAAATTTTCCTAAAGATTAACAAGAAGCAATATCATATAACATCATTAATAAATACTCACAGCATTACTGAACTTTGTCTTGATGATTCCAGGAGCAATGCAGTTGATTCTGATATTGTGAGCAGCCAACTCAGGAGCCAGCACTTTGTTCAAACCCAGCAGAGCTGTCTTAGTCAAACTGTAGATGCCAATCATCTGAAAACAAATAATAGAACTTTGCATAATTAAAAATACTAACAAACATTAACATAAATAGATTTCAGTACATTTTTCCAAGAGGAACACATAGAGGTGACCACTAGTACAGGTGCATGGGCCTGGTTTTGTCTTTTTTAAGAACTATAAATGTATTATAAAGGAGTCACTTGTATGTATCTCATAAATACTCATATCATGAACCCAAATTTCTATGAGCCATGCAAACTCAACTCTGTGTCCAGCTCCAGTTTCTTTTCAATGACTCAGCTTTTGTTACCTTCTATCATGTTGCTGTCTAAGATATTTGTCACAATATTTCTTTATCAATCTCACGTTGGAGTTACTTTTATTATAATATATTGTAAGAGAATAAGCTTTCAGGAAAGACATACATAAAGCAACAATAAGCAAACTGGACTACCAGGAAAAATTCCAGTAAAAATCAACCTCTATGCTTGAACAGCATCAGTAACCTTTACTCCACTGTCACTGTCTCTGCTTGTCTATCTTACCTTTCAATGTGCTAATTGAGCCTCTCTTTAAAACACAGAGCAATCACATAGGCCTACACAATGTGTGTGTATGTGTATGTGTGTGTGTGAGTGTGTGTGTGCGTGAGCGAGAGAGAGAGAGAGAGAGAGAGAGAGAGAGAGAGAGAGAGAGAGAGAGAGAGAGAGAGAGAGAGAGAGAGAAAGAGAGAGAGAGAGAGAGAGAGTGAAAAAGATAGAGAGAAAAAGATAGAGACAGAGAGAAGTGGAGAGACAGAGAGAAGTGGAGAGACAGAGAGAAGTGGAGAGACAAAGAGAAGTGGAGAAAAGGAAACAGAGAAAGAGATGGCAATAGAAATAGTAAGTTAGGTTGTATGACTTCAAGCAAGATAGAACAAAATAAATGCCACAATTAGTGAGAATAGTTTAGGAAAAAAAGGAGCAAAAAAAAGCAGATTCAATCAAAACACCAGGCAACCGTGTGCATTAAAAGGACCTTTCACATTTGAAAAAAAACCTTTTTGTATTATTTAGAGTTTGTTTCAGAAATTTCAAGGATTTTAAATCACTGTCACTCTCTATGTTGTTGCATTGAAAGAGATGTTCAAAATTTGGAATGGGAACCTATAGGTTTACCACCTCTTACACATCCTTGGTGTTTTCTGTTATCAAACACGAACGTCAATGAGTAGAGAACTTTGTATGTAACTGGTCTGTGACACTACCTGCCTGTTGCACAAGCCTGCTGTCCAATACATAATGCCTTTAACATTATTTCGTTTCACAACTTGTTTCTCTTGGGTTTAATCTGAATTTTCACTATACATTTACCTCTTTCTCACAACGAATGCCCATTGAGTCATGCAAAGACTCCACTTCCCTAAAAGGAATGAGTATGAACCCTGTCAGAAGCAGCTATCAAATACATGTTGTTTTGCATATTTCAATCATTTTTTCCTGTACCATTTCCTATATTTCAATCTTTCCATAACTGATAATAATATTGTCATCAATTGAGCCGTATATCCATTTACCCAACCCTGGAAAATTTCTAGTATTGAGAAACAAGGTAATTAGTTTCATGAATGACAGTGCAGGAAATCACTCTATGGAAATGAAAGTGAATAGAAGAGGTTCTGCAATAAGCTCCGATGAAAAATTTTGTGACAAGAGCAAAAAAACTCATGGGACCAAAATTAAGAAAAGTGGGAAAAAATGGTCAAACAGACTTTAGAAACAAGAGGCTAAACAAGCATCATCCAGAAATAATAAGCACATGTAAGTACAGTGGAATCCTGTTATAACGAGAGGGAGGGGACTGGTGACAAGTGTCCGTAAAAGCAGGATTCTTGTTATACGGGATCCAGTAATAAATTCAAGGGAAATAGTAATGTAGGCCTAATCTATGAGTCTGGTTTTCGGTTTAGTTCTTTTTGTTATCTCCCCTGATGATGATTTGGTTCAACATGACCTTTAAGTCTTACTGGATAAAAAGTCGAATCAGGTTTCTTTCTCAAGCGCTAGCGATGTTGACAGCTCGGCATTGGTGATCAGAAAGAAAGTTCTCTTGGCTAACTCGCCCGCTGTGTTGTCCCCCACCCCACCACAACCTGTGGTGCCTTCCGTCTGCGTGCGCACAATGGGAACATACCAGTATCACACCCCGCCCACGTCACACATTCGCTCTGTCCATCACAGTACAGCACCATGACCTCTCCAATCTCCATCCCCGCATCGGAGAAGTGAGAGGCTAGGTAGGCCCAGATAATCTATACTAGGCTGGCCTATCACACAATGTGTTCAGCATGTCTGTGCATGCCACACTCTCCCCACTCATTCGATCCGGCCTTCATTGTTGGCACACGTGGGCTCTCCCATTCTTTGTTTTGCAAGATAACCAACAAGTTTCTCAACTGGCGAGGTTTTACAAATATGAATAAATGGCCTATGCGCTGTGCACAGCAGCAGCTATATTCCGCTATAACCGACTCACATGTTTGTCTGATTGCGTTATAGCAGCATTTTGTTTACAAAGATAAAGAAGGGGGAAAAAACGGGGTTTTAGATTAGTGTCTTTATAACAGACTTCTTGTTATTTCAGGACTCGTTATAAGTGGATTCCACTGTAGAGATTTTAGAGAACATCTGAGACATATGTGGTAAGCAGACTGGGTTCTGAAAATGATATGAAAAAAACCCTTTCATTATGATTTTCTCAGTTTCCCACTTTCTTGTCTTATATTGCATCATTCCAAGTCCATATCAATATATATAAAGTAATGACAAAATACAAATTGATAAAAAAAACCTTAGAATACAGATAGTTACAGAAAAAAATCCTGAAAAAGGGCAGTAGTACCTTATGGAAAGCACTAACATAGGTATAATCATAAGTTATCTCTTTTACATGTGCATGTCCTGCACTCAATCAGAATAATTAGAGCACTAGTGTCAAACTCAAGGCCTGTGGGCCACATACAACCTGGCAAACAATTCTATCTGGATCGCACATAATTTTAGTTAGTCTATCCTGAGAATCCCGATAACACAAAACCTGAATTCAAACATAAACAAAAGTGTTGCCAAGAAAAGATGCCAAGCATTCAGCTCTAATGAATTGCCTCAGAGAAAAAAAAAGGTGTGCTTTGATTTATGATTGTTTTAACTTTCAACTGTTTTAAATAATATTTTTGTTTAGTCAACAAATTTTCGTTACCCCTCAGTTCAATGAATATTGATCGAGATGTGCCTGAAACTTGGCAACCTTATATACAATTAGAATTTGGCCTCCTGTGCAACTGAGTTTAAAAATCATGAATGAGAGCCACAGTAAAATGGAATCCTAAGCCATCTCCTACACAAAGCATACATGTCCCGTGCCCAATCAAAGAATTAGAGGTCCAAAGATCCCCTTCTTGGTCGTCTCTCCAGCATTCTACACAACCTATGCGCTCATCAGAAATGAAAAAGAATGCAAAACAACCGTATTTCCTATATGTACATCTCTATGTATTTTCACATACACAGATTTTAAAAAAAGTTTTTTTGTGAGGTTTTGTTCTCTCAGGAAATAGTGCAAAATACATTTTTTATATCATCTTAGAATTGGGTGAATTAGCAAAAAGAAGCATGTATGCCTATCCCCTTCCTCTCCCCTCCCCCAAACACATACTGTTCATCAGTTCATAAAGACAGAGACCACTGCACTATTGCGAAGAGTTTTCCCAAGCTGCCACATAAAGTTTCTTGTGATTTGACACGATAGTACTCAATCGGATTCTACTTCTTCATACAGCTTACTATTATTTCTCACAAAAATGACCCCCCGGGGCAGTGCCACTGACTGTAGTATCTTTAGGCCATTCCCAAAGGGGGGACATTTCTCGTTCAAGTATAGTAGAATTGTAAATGGGCTGACTCATGTCACGCTCATAACTGTGCCTGTTCTACAGAGAACTGCTGCTTTTTCTTTCCTGATCCTTACTATTGTCATTTTCCTCTACTTCTTTTGTATGTTTGTCACTCTCTTGTGACCTGCTATTTCCGGGGTGCCTTGATAGTCGAAGCAGACCTTGTGCTGTTGAAGCTAGAGACGTGAGCAGTCTAAATCTGATTCCCTGTAAAGACTTCTCTGTTGACACCCACCCCTTGGAGCTCATATGACCTTATGCAGTTGCGAGCGCCGTAAAACCCTCTACTACAAAAAAAAATAAAATGTAAGCAATTAACATACCGGACCAGGTACATAACCTGCAACTGAAGATATCAACACTATTGTCCCACCTCTGAAAAAAAGGACGAAAGAGTAAAAAACCAGATGTGGGCAACAGAAATATGACTGAAGCCTTCAACTCATCATGATTTCAATTTTGCTGATGCTAAGCCCCAAATTGAGAGCAACATTGCTTGTCACGATAGCATATTCACTAGAAGGCATTTATTTACCTCAGTACTGCAGCAAAGAAGCCTGGCACAGCAATACAAGTATATTTCTGCAATTTTGTGAAAAATCATATTTTTCTATCTCTCTGTCTTCCTAACAAAAGTTATTTCACAATATTACCTGTTACCTACACTATACAACCTCAAACAACATTAATGCACTTTTTCATGGGATGTTTCCTCTAAGTTTTGTCATGCCAGATGAATGAAAATATTTCAATAACATGTATGATTAAGCAGATCATTTCCAAAGCAGAACTCTTGGCCCAACAATATGTAGAGAGACGATGAAAAGAGTGAAGACACAGAAAGAACACCATAGTAATCAACACAAAAGTACATCTATCATCTCAGTCTCAACATAGATATATTGTCCAACTTGCTTTTACTGCCACCTGTCAAGGACAATCACCTGTACAAATGACCACTTCCATCTTACCCCTTGCGTGTTTTCTATAAAGATTATAATGACATTGTCCAAGACATCCACCTGTCTGAAACAACCACTTATTCTTTGACAATGGGTGGCCATCTTGGACAACTTTGATTGTAATCAAGTGTGGCCTTTTATCATCAAAGGGGTCAAAGCTTCTCTCGGTCTTTTTATGAAATTTGGGGAGGGGATTGACAATGAATCTGTTATACAATGAATCTGTTATATTGTCATTGACATGGATAAGCTCCAAATAATATGAGAATATACAAGTCATCAGTTGTGGCAGCAAAAATCAGAGGTCAAAAGCTCAAAAAGTCTATGCAACACTCTCTTATATTACAATGAAAACACGAGAAGGAAAACAAAGTGGGAGAAAAGTGATGATGGAAAATTTATCTTCAGTTCTGATATGTCACAGCTCCCAGACATCACGGTAAATCAGTATTGGTGTTTAATTAATTCTAGTAAAGCTTTGGAAAAATCTTATGCACTTGGAAAAATGCAAAAAGCACTACTCTATTCTTCTACCAATAATGTAAGTGATAAGACTTGAGGCAAAAGAATGGTCAGCCTCTTGCTAGGACCAGGGTGGCCATTTTGGAAAGTCCTTACAATAAAGCAAAGCACAAAGATTGGTAAAACTGCATGAATGGTATGGGATTAACATTCCTTTCAGCAAAGTAAGATGTGTGTGTGTGTGTGTG